TGCGGATTGATGAATGGAGGCCGCTGCGACGCTGCGTGCTGCCAGTGCCCACCCCTGCCTGAAAAGGCACCTGCCGTGCCCACGCAAAACCAGGCGCGCGCGCAGCGGCAGCGCACCCGTATCTCCGTCCACCCATCTTTCAGATTCGGCAGCGCCTCCCCTTGGGCCTTGGGCCTTCGCAGGGGAAAAAACAAACAAAGCTTGATACTAGATGGATGGTCACGTGGCGCGAAGCGTGCCTCGGAAAAGCTACGTGTAGTCCGCACTCAGCGCACGACGCAGCCGTAGGAGGATGCGGTACGCTAATGATCCATCATCCATGTACGATGACAAAAGCTTTTCGTCAATGACCGTAGTGGTCAGTGGATCAGGCACCTGCGTACGGCGTACACTGACAGCTGGAGGCGGAGAGGTATATCGATACGCAATTACTCTACTGTACGCATACGTATGTGGATGGGTAGACGTGGCAGCTGCTCAGCACGAGCTTGATCTTGAATGCTGCACGGCAAGGCTCTCTAGGCTGCTATTTATTTAATCAAAGGCTGCCTGCCTACCGATGCGGCGAGAATCCGAACAGTGGCCATGGTAGTGACTGGTGAGCCCAGTGGCCTTGTAAAGTTGTACTGCGTGGCGTGGCAGTACGTAGTATAGTGTATAAATAAAAAAACCAGAGTAGCGGTGGCAAGGCGTGCGTGACACGGGTCGGGGGGAACGGCCACAGAGGTGCCACTACCGCGGAGAATCTCTGCCCCGCCCGGCCGCTGGGCCATCGCGCGCGCAATACTACTGCACGTATGTACGTACTCTACTGTTTCTCGAAAAAATGTACTATGTACTCTACTTTTTTTTCTGTGAAAGTCTACACTACTATGGTACAGTCTCCTACTAGAGCAGCAGCGGCGCCAGCGCCAGCCAGGTGGTGCTGCTTTGCTGTCACTGTCAGTGCTGAGGTGTGTCATGTGTGGCACTGTACAGCCGTTCAGTTCCGGCGATGGGACTGGGTCGGGAATAACCGGCGCCAGGCCTGAAAAACCAGTATCCCACGCCCGCAGCCCCGTGGTGTAAGTAAAAATATTATTATTTAAAAAAAATATTATTTATTAAATAAGTGAAGCGCACGAGAAACACACTAGCTACGGAGCAGAGCTTGCTTGCTTGCCTGCCCATCAGCCAGCATACAGGCCGGAGGCCACACAGCTCATACATAAACCCTGTGTCGAGTGCTGCGCTCTAACTGTTCCAGCAGGCTTAAAAAGCTCTGTACCAGCAGGGTTAAAAAAAACTGTGGGTACTTCGGCAGGATCTCGCTCGTCAGTCGGCACTTCGGCAGGCGTCGACGCGTCGTGGCAGACGAACCTGAAGACAGAAGGGTTGCAGACTTGCAGCACAAAGGCTTCCGCTGATGAGTGAAAACTAATGAAGCAAGCATGCATGCATGACGCGCCCAAAATACTCGTACTACGCGGCTGCAGCAGCAACGCAAAAGGCTCTTGTCGTGACGCCGAGACGGGCCCTCACGGCGCACGGCAGCGGCCAGAGGGGCCGGCCGTGCAGCCTTTCCACCCACGCGCCCCCACCTCTGAGCACCTGCCTCACGGAAGTGACCAGCGGATCGGGTTACACTGTAGTACACCCGGAGCTGGCGATGGCGCCGCTGCGGGCAACGAGCGCGCCGAACGGTGCGGCCCGGGCTTGGTGGAGCAGGTGAAGGGGAAGCGGCTGGAGCAGCAGGGAAAGCCTAGCCGCCGAATGTAGCCCCGTGCGACGTGGGTGCGGCGCCGGGGTTATGCGAGGATTATCGGGGTAAATCGAAGAAGTGCTCTGAAAAACTCTTCTTTTTTATAAGCAAAAACACTTTTTCGTCCGGTTCGTTTGGTCTTGTTTGGCTGATAAGCCATGGCTGAAAGTATTATTGATTGGTTTAGTGTGAGAGAAAAATACTGTTCGTTGTCTATTAAACCATGGCTTATAAGCCAAATACGACCAAACGAACAGGCTGTTTATCCGTGGGCTCGACTCCCACCCCATCCCATCCCATCCCATGACCGCGCGCCCAGTTCTCTCGCTCTGCTCACCCTCTCCTCCTCCCGCTCATCCACTCTCTCGTTACTGGCACGCAGCGCTCGTGCGTCGCTCCCCTCCCTCCCTCCGCGACCTCCATGCCACCGGAGATGGCGGCGGCTTCCGACGAGCCGCCCCTCCCTCCCTCCGCGACCTCCAGGCCACTGGAGAGGAGGGCGACGGCGGCGGCTTCCGGCGAGTCGCCCTCCCTCCCTCCCTCGCTCCACGACCTCCCTGCCAACGGAGAGGAGGGCGATGGTGGCTTTTGGCGAGGTAGGTAGGTCATTCTCTGGATCTGAGCCATCCTCCTCCTCTGGATTTGGATCTGAGGGACGCGGCAGTGGCTAGGGTTCTGGCGAGCTCTGTTGCAGTAGGCTTGTTTTGCTGTTGCAAGAAGTAATATTTCTTTATTGCATTAGCCTTTTTCTGATGTTGCATCTCACATTGCGCTTTTGTTTCTGTTGTTGTGGTAGCATCATTTTGCTGTTGCAACAAGTATTTTTTCTTTGTTGCATTAGTCTTTTTTCTGATTGTCGCATCTCATATTGCCCTTTTGTTTCTTTTATTGCAGTAACATTATTTTGTTGTTGCAACAAGTAATGTTTCTCTGTTATATTAGTCTTTTTTATGTTATATCTCGCATTGTGCTTTGTTTCTATTGTTGCAGTAGTTTTGGTTTGCTGTTGTAACAAGTAATTTTTCTTTGTTGTATTAGTCTTTTTCTGATGTTGCATCTCGTGTTGCAGTAGCTTTGTTGTGTTGTTGCAGTCGCTTTTTGTTCTGATGTTTCACCTCGCATCGCTTTTTGTTTGATGTTGCAAATCAATTTTCTGATGGGAGCGCGGTGAGGATGCAACACACCTAGTGTGGGGGAACGAGTGATGCGGGGGGGAGAGCAGGTTCCATTCTATTCCTGCGGGGGTTGGGCGGTGAAGAGAAGTGAGCGACTGGGGCGGGCGGGGTTTTTTTAACAAGGGTGGGCGGGTTTGGGATGCCTTGGTGCGATGGGCGCGACGTCCAGATGCGTCTCACGCGTCGGATGTCCGGACGCTAGATGCACCAATTTTTTTAAAAAAAATCACCAACCAAATATACACCCTTTGTCTCCAAAGTAGTGGCAAAAAGCCACTCCGCCGCTAAAGCCAAGGACTCTTCGCCCCTCCAGCTCGCAACCCTATACTGATCCTTAACCCTGGCAGCTCCTCCACTCCGCTGCTAATGGTGACCGAGACCACAACAGCATTGAATGAGAGAGATTAAGAATACTGCTAATGGTCTCACTGAACTTCTTGGTCCAGGTGGCCAATTGGCCATGTAGGCCCTGGTTCCTCAGAAAACCTACGCTTCTCTTAATCTTGGCCGTCGTGACTGACATGCTGCTCGATCCCCGATGCCCACGCCCCCGGTGCTCCACGTGTCGGGGACCTAATACCGTGGTACCCAAGGGGATGGAACTAATAACTATCGAACGTTAAAAACTCTCGAACGGACAAGAGCACTCACGTGCTTCTTGCCCGAACGATAGGAGTTTGGTTCCGCCGCCCGACGCCCATGGGCCAGCTCCGCCTCACCCGACGGGCCGGAGGATTTGGCTCGCCCTCGCCCCGAGGCTGAGACTCCGCCCACTCGCCCGACCCCGAGGGCTGGGCTCGCCTCGCCCACCGGATAAAAGCTAGGCTCGCCTCTTGCCCGACGTCCGAGGACGGACCTCGCCTCGCTTCGATGTCCAAAGGTCGGCTCCGCCTCGTCTAAACAACCGCACCCCGCTCTCTCATAATGATAGGCACAGGGTAAGACAAGACGTTCGAATCAACCACGGCATCGAGAGACCACACCTGCGCCCTGCGAAGAAAGTACCGTCGAGGCGTGGCCGACACGCGCTTAGACCCTTCCAGGTGTGGCAGAGCCTAAATAGTGTTGCAGGCGCGTGCTATTCGCCCTATAGAGTTGTAGGCGCCGCCTTCAGCCTCCGGGCGGAGAACCCGACACGGACATACGACAACCACTACGTTCCAAGGAGGGACTCCCGTCCTCTATAGTGGCAAACGAGCAGTCACTGCGCCATCCGCTCCCCACGGGTCGGAGATCGACAACCCCGTCCAACACGTCGCTCACAAGGCGGGACGGGGCGCGCACCCACTTGCTTGAATGAGGCGAGGGCATGGCCTCACGAAGATCAACAACCACGCCACTCCTGAAGCGGTGCGCCATGTTATGCGAGGCGGTGCGCGAAAAAAAAGGAAGACTCGGATCCTTCGAAGGACCTTCTATACTCTAGGTATTTTCCTCTTTCTCCCGTCTGTAACCCCTGCCCCCCCCCCCTTGGTCTATAAAAGGGAGGGCAGGGCTCCCCACTAGAGGGACCAACTTTTGACGGACAACTCACACACAGATTTAACTCATAGAGAGCTCGGTTCGACACATCACGCTGCAGCTAGGCCGCCACCACCAGCTCTTGGCATCCTTTCGACCCCTCCATCGAGACACGGGACCAGGTCCCTCTCTCGACCGCTTGTACCCCCTACTATTTAACCTTTTTTGTGCTAATAACACGAAACGAAGAATGAGATCGGACGTAGGGACATTCAAATCCAAATCAAGATAAACCTTGTGTCATTTAGCACACCATCCAGTGCCTAACGCGCATCAATTATAAATTTACTAGCGGTGCTTGTTCAAACACCGACACCACACTAATAACGGCCGTTCTCGGAAGCCGCCTATGGTGGAAAAAGCGAAGCGGAGCGATTTCTGCGAGGACGAACCGATGAACACTACCCAACCATCTCTGACACCCTGTTCGTTTGATCATTTCTGTGGCTTATAAACTGGCTGATGCTGTTTTGTTGTGAGAAAAAAACACTGTATTATGGCTGATAAGCATGGCTGATACGATCAAGCAAACATGATAGACCGTTTTGGGACTACGATGGACGTCACGATGCCAGCGAGGAGACGAGGAGGGAGCCATGGGGCATGGTCCATGGCCACATGTCCCAGAGCGCGAGCTTCATCAGTTCCCACTTCCCAGCTCCATTCCCAGCAGGCGACACCATCACGTGCCGAGCGCGCCACTGCCATCCTGGCGAAACGCCACCACCTCCTCGCACTGCTGATCCACCGCGTACAGCATCCCAGCTACCCTCTGCCTCCACTGTGCGCCAGCACATCCTTTTATTTACCACCTCTTAGGTCTCCACTGTCGCAGGTTTCATCACCGAATTTTTTATTTTTCAGCCTTTTTTAAAAAAATATTCACAAATAGATCCCTGGTGGTTTAATTTTTGTTTATAGACCCTAACCTCGGTGCTATGGCTTTTAGCGTCGAGGAAACACGTCTCGGCGTCATGGCCAATGGCACCGAGGTCTTGGCGAGGCGTCGGACGTGGCGGTGACTTGGCACCGACGTGGACAAGGCCACATCGTCATAGATCTTGGCACCATGCTCGGCGCTGTAGATCTCGGCGCCGAGCTATTATCCTGTAGATCTTGGCGTTTGAAATGAAACAAGTATAATTGTTGCGAAGAACATGCAACAACGCCATTGCGGTTCAACTGTTTAGGACGTGCGCGACTTAGCTCAAAGGCCTTGGTTCAAACCCCAGAGTTGAATCTTCTTTTGCTACGTTTTTATAGAGCCTGTTCGCTGGTTAATTTCAGCCAGCCCAAATCAGTCATCCAACAGTATTCTCCTGTCACAACAAACCAGATCGGCCCAGAAACTAACCAGCGAACAGGCCCATAAGCAATGGAATAAGAAAAATTGTTTCGAGCAACCTGTAATGATCCCCCTCATAAGAACTACTCGTGCGGCTGGCGGACACGACGTCCTCGATCTCCCCCTGCTCGTACTTCTCCCACGCCCACCTCGGGGACCACTCCTTGCTTTCGCCGTGGCCGGGATCGTAGTTCCGGCGCCGCCTCAGGATCTCGAACAGCACCATCCCGAAGCTGTACACGTCGCACTTCTCCGACGCCGGCAGCGCCATCCACAGCTCCGGCGCCGCGTACCCGGGCGTCCCGCGGCCGCCGCCGGTCAGCGACATGTGCGTGTTCTCGCGCTGCCCGAAATCGGCCACCTTCGGGGTGTAGTCAGCCGTGAGAAGAATGTTCGCCGGCTTGATGTCGTAGTGCACGATCCGCTGTTGGCACTCCTCGTGCAGGTACCTGATCCCCTTCGCCGTGCCGACGGCGATGCTGTGCAGCGTCCCCCATTCCAACCTTGTGCTTGTGCTGCCCTCGTCGCCGTAAAGGTACTTCTCGAGTGAGCCATTCTCCAAGAACTCGTACACCAGCGCCTTCGTGTTCGCGTCGAAGCAGAAACCATAGAGCCGCACGAGGTGCACGTGGTAGGTACGTCCGATGGTGCCGATCTCCGCCATGAACGCCTCCTGCACTTTCTTGTTCATAGACACCTTCAGGACCTTCGCGGCCACCAGCAGGCCGTTCGGCAGCTCACCCTTGTAGACCACGCCGTAGCCTCCGGACCCCAGTTCGCACGAGTAGTTCTTGGTGTAGACCGCCAGCTGCTCGGATATATAAACTCCGGACCTCAGTTTGCATGTTTATCGAAATAATTTTTCTGGTTGTATTGCTTATAAAAAATGTAGCAAAAAATTTAGCGTTGGGTTCAAACATAGGCCTTTGAGCTAAGTCGTGCGCGTTCTAACCAGCTGAACCACAATGACGTTGTTGCATGTTCCTTAGAATTATTATACTTGTTTCATTTCAAACGACAAAATCTATAGGGTAACAGCTCGGCATCAAGATCTACGGCGTCGAGGCCTTGTCCACGTCAGCGCCAGGTCACCGTCACGTCCGACGCCTCGCCAAAACCTCGGCGCCATTGGTCATGGCGCCGAGACGTGTTTCCTCGGCGTCAAAAGCTATGACGCCGAAGTCAGGGTCCATAAACGAAAATCAACCCACCAAAGATTTATTTGTGAATATTTTTTTTGAAAAAGCTGAAAAATAAAAAATTCGGCCTTCATCACAGTATCTCCAGCCTGCTGCCTGCCGATCCGATGCTCTTGTCAACTGTCGCAGCATTCGGTGCAGTGGTGTCTGCGCCCGGTTTGCTCGGAGGGTTTTGGTTTTGGAGGATGATCCTTGTTTTAAGCAGGGGTAAAAGAGGAGAATGAACGGATAAATCTAAAGGGCATGAGAAAAAAAGGAGGCAAAAGCTAGAGATAGAGAGGGGAAAGCAATGCCCTGACATTTCCTGCAGAATCCTGATAAACATCACGTGATCACGTTTCGTGTTGGGCTCAATCATGCAGCGCTGACGTGTGGGGTATAACAACATTTGCCCCCACATGTCGGTCGCCTGTGTCCCAGGCAAGCACTCATGATCGCGGACGCACACCCACAGCACGGTTAAAGATCACAGCATGTCACTTCTAATGGTGCGTTCATTCGGCACATATAATCGGTTCCGGTTTCTTCGAGAATTAGCGGAAACCGTACACCAACCAACACGCAGGTGAAATGTTTCTGCTCGAAACGGTTTCAAATGATTCTTACTGCTCGAAATGGTTTCAAATGATTCTTACTTTTCTACCTATAAATGTGAGTCGGTGAAAACATGGTTTCGTAGTAATTCTAATTATGTAGCCAAATGGTTTGGTGATATGATTCACCATTTGAAACGTTTTTAAAAGAATATAGATCTAGAATGCTTTTATAAAATCTGAATTCCTACCAAATGAGCCCTAAGTTTCATCAATTGAGCCCTATGTTTTTTTTCTTCAGTCCATCCAACAAATGATTATTCCTTTCAAATTCATGTGTTTTTAATCCTCTATTTTCAATAGCATTCCTGTGCAATTCCTATGTTCCTGCTTTCCTGTGCTCCAAAGAGGGCCTCAATATGTTTCTTTATAACAACATACTTGACGACCATTATGTACTTTTTTATAAAATATAGTGCAGAAAGACGCTTACATAGATATAGAGATGGCGGCTGTATGTTTTTTTACTTTCAATCATGTGCAATTGCCTATGTTCCTGCTTTCCTGTACTCCAGAGAGGGCCTCAGTGTGCTTCTTTATGACAACATACTTGACGACCATTACGTACTTTTTTATAAAACATAGTGTAGAAAGACGCTTACATAGATATAGAGATGGCGGCTGAATGTTTTTTTTTACTTTCAATCATCATTTGAACTCACTGTCTGAAATGATTCATTTGAAGAGTCATTTGAATAAAAAACACTTTTTATACTTTTTTATTCTTCAGCAGCTTTTCTATATTTTGCACGCACTATATAGAGTTATTCTCCCACAAATGAGTTGATGACATCTATAAAATCTTGTTTAGATCCATTAATATTAAGGATTTGTTTATATTCATAGAGCTAATAGTTAGCCGCTAACAAATAGCTAGTTGCATCCAAACATGTACATCTAATAAATTAGCTAATTGCTAGTTGGATATCTATCAAACTACTATCTCACTAGTTAGACCAACGCGGCTAATAACATCTAACTGTTAGTTAGCTCATTTTAGCTAGGAGCTATAGTTAGCTAACTATTAACTGTTAATGGATCCAAACAAACTCTAATAATTACATAGCTAATAGCTGCTAACTTTTAACTTGCTCATATGTTGCTAATAGATGGTTGGCATGTAATAATTAGAAACCCTCTATCTAATAGTTAGTTAGTCTATTAGTAGGTCTATTTAGATCCACTTGTACTAATTTTGGTTTCTAACTATTAGAACTAGTAGATCTAAACATGCCCTAAAATATGTTCTTAACCTCCTATCCATGCAAGCAAACACCATATTTCAAAGAGTTTCAGTTAAAGTTGAACGGAATGGTTGGGATTTGGCTTCTTCCTTATCAAACGGGGCCTTTTGCCATCTCCGACCTCTTGTCGGTCGTAGTTGGAAACTTTTATTATCTTTAGTTAAAAGGTCAGTATATACCTACTTATCCCCTTTAGAATACTATTTTTTTATTTTTCATGTGAAAATAAAATAATTTGTGTGAAGTTACTATACAGTGTACTCTCTCATCACAAAGAATGTAATTCTAGATATAGAACAAGTTAATTTGTTTAGTTTTGTTGAATCTATGCAAATAGTACAATATTTATGTCTATAAATAACTAGTATAAAAATATATTATTTAACTAATCTAATAATACTTACTCATTATCTAGTTTATTTTATTGTATTCGATTGAACTATAAAAACAATAATTACATGGTTTTTGACCGAGTGGATTCCAAACTCCTACGTTTACCGTTTAGATCCGTCTCAATGATAATGTTTTGAAAATAAAGTTTTAAATGCATTAACCAGGGTGATAGCTCAGCAAAAGTAGTGATGAAACTTGTTGTAACACCCTCGGTGTTACACTGTAAATTATTTACTAAAACATGTCATGAGCACTATGTTTATGTGTTAATGCATGTAATAAAGAGTGTAGATCAATTTCCGTAACTCAAAACGATCAACGAAAGTGCGAAACGTAGTCATGTTATATCACTTAGGGTTTAAAACTAATTTTAATTAAGCAAAAATACTATAGAATATATATGTGATACTTAAATAAGGTTTGAAGTGCAAACTTTGTATATGACAATGAAAGACTCACGGTCGAAAAATGATATTGCTAGCTGATATTTTGACTAGCTTAGAGATGGCAATTGGAATTCAAATTCAGCTCTAACACTTAAAAATTTTCAAGTCTGCCGACAGTTAGACAGTATTTGATTGAACTATGAAAACAATAATTACATGGTTTTTCAGCGAGTGGATTCCAAACTCCTACGTTTACTGTTTAGATCCGTCTCAATGATAATGTTTTGAAAATAAAGTTTTAAAGGCATTAAGCAGGGTGATAGCTCAGCAAAAGTAGTGATGAAACTTGTTGTAACACCCTCGGTATTCACTGTAAATTATTTACTAAAACATGTCATGAGCACCATGTTTATGTGTTAATGCATGTAATAAAGAGTGCAGATCAATTTACATAACTCAAAACGATCAACTAAGTGCTAAACGAAAATTAATTCAATAGTCATGTTATATCACTTACGGTTTAAAACCAATTTTATTAAGCAAAAATGCTATAGAATATGTATGTGATACTTAAATAAGGTTTGAAGTGCAAACTTTGTATATGACAATGAAATACTCGCGGTCGAAAAATGATATTGCTAGCTGATATTTCGACTATCTTAGAGATCGCAATTGGAAATCAAATTCACTCTAACACTTAAAATTTTCAAGTCTGCCAAGCACGTTAGACAAGATTTGATTGAACTATGAAAACAATAATTACATGATTTTTCACCGAGTGGATTCCAAACTCCTCGCTTACCGCTTAGATCCGTCTCAATGATAATGTTTTGAAAATAAAGTTTTAAAGGCATTAAGCAGGGTGATAGCTCAGCAAAAGTAGTGATGAAACTTGTTGTAACACCCTAAGTGTTACACTGTAAATTATTTACTAAAACATGTTATGAACATCATGTTTATGTGTTAATGCTTGTAATAAAAAGTGTAGATCAATTTCTGTAACTCAAAACGATCAACGAAAGTGCGAAACAAAAGTTAATTTAATAGTCATGTTATATCACTTAGGGTTTAAAACCAATTTTTATTAAGCAAAAATGCTATAGAATATGTATGTGATACTTAAATAAGTTTTGAAGTGCAAACTTTGTATATGACAATGAAATACTCGCCGTTGAAAAATGATATTGCTAGCTAATATTTCCACTAGCTTAGAGATCGCAATTGGAAATCAAATTCAGCTGTAACACTAAGAAATTTTCAAGTCTGCCGATAGTTAGACACTGCTATGTTTGGCAATTTATTGTGTGAGATTGGGTTAAGCAGTGGTGTTGTATTTGGGCTTGTTTTTGTAGCCTAATATACCATCTAAGGTATAGCAAAGGTGGCTCGGAAATTGGATCAACGGTTTAGGTTTCTCGAGCGCTTGTAAAATCATTTCTTGGCGTGTTCTCGGGCTGTTTTCCTGGATGAGCGAGGTCACCAGCACCGGTGGCACGATGCCACCGTGTCGGGTGTAACACCCTTGGTGTTACGAGCTTGCTAAGCCCTGAGATTTCGACCGGAGAAATAGATCTATAAATATAGTGAGCCAGTTACTTAAATGTGGTAACGGAATCTCAATAAGAAAATAGGAAAAGTAGTTTTAATTATTTGGCACGAGAAGCAATTTTTATAAACAAAAATAAAATATAACTTGTAATTGGTACTTAAATAAAATTTGAAGTGCAAGTTTAGTAGATGAAAATGCAACTGTTGATTTGGTGAATAAATGTTGTTCCATGGTATTTTTGATAGCTCAAGAATTGGAAGTGGAATATAATTTCATCTTCTAGAACTAAACGATTTAAGT